CTCGACTTTTATAATAGAATAAATACTTTTCATTTTGTTTTTCCCCATTATTTTTATGTGAGGTCGTCTGACGTGCCGCTGTGTGTTTTCAGCTCTAGTCGGCTCTTCATTGTATGTGAATCATTGTGGCAGAGAGCAGTTTTAGATTTACTTTGACTTTATTCAGTGGTTATTGTTACTGCTTGGTCACCACTTGTTGTGTCCTCAAGCCATTATGTCTTTTCACAAAAAAAAAGCAAATTTTGACTGTCTGTCTTCCAGTGTGCAGAAGGTACAGTTGCTGCTTCAGCAAGTGTCAGCAGAGTCAATATCCACTTCTCATTGTTCTTGGCAAAGAATGTGATTCTGATTTTTACCCCGCAGCTGCTTCGAAAACAATAGTAGCCAATGTGTGTGTGTTTGTGTGTGTGTTTGGCAGCTTGTCAGAATTCCTGGCCAAATCAGACGAGTATGTGTACAAACTGGCAGACAATCTTCTGGATGCAATGACGAACGGAGAGCATTCAAAAACCCTGAAGGAGACAGAGCCAGTAAGCACCTATTGAGACATCTTAATCGATCCAAGTTGACTGCCCTTACTACTGAGTTAAACAGCACAGGAGAGAAATCTGAGAGTATCTGTTGACTGAGTGAGTCATTGTTTTTTTCCTGTCCAGCAGGTGGTGGAGGCAACAAATACACAAGAGGACAAGAATGATATGGAGGTGAGAGTTTGTACCAATCTGGAGCTGATAATGAAAAACAATCCTTGCGTGTCCCACTGTCCGTTTGCTATGTAACGCAAAAACCAGAGCCGTTCACCGTCATCAGTACTGGATGTGATGTTCGGAAGAGGAGCTCCCGCTGTGCAGTTGTTCGGCGTGCAACACGTGTTCTTGCATTGCACCTCATGTGTGGATACTTCATCTTGTCATTATAGATGGCCTCTGCAGATGGTTGCCGCGCCAACCAGCTGTGTCAACATAGCAGGGGCCTGCCTTTAGCTGTGATCCATCCACGCATGGAAAGAACATTTCCCCTCAAAACACAGCAGTGCCGCCCGCTCAATGCTCGCTGTTGGAGAATTTGGAGAGGCCCCTGTGTTTTCTCTCAGTGCGCGCTGGCTGCGCGGCTGAATCGCTCCTCAGAGCAGCAGAGGAAACCAAAGTACAGGCCTCTCCATCAGGCACACAGCAACCCTCTGTCCTGGCTGTTTGCTGTTCTTGGCCGCTCTCCAGTTTACTCTCATCCCCTGCCCGGGTGTTGCAGCTTTTCATTAGGTTTGATTTTATTGGAGCGAAGAAGCAGCGTGACTAAAGAGGCTTCAAAAGCCCTGGATGTTCCCTAGATGCGTCAGCTGTCTAGTGTGGAATGCATTTTTTCTAATCTGACTAAACATGTTGTTTCCCCCCTCGTCTCATGTAGGTGGCTGAACCTGAAGCTTCCAACTGCAAGAGGCTGGACTTCCTGCACTCTGCTGCAGGCCTGCGGATGGCTGAGGAGCTCTCTGGGGGTAAAACGGCTCACTGACTTAGTTTGTGGTACACATAGGGCTGCAACTTACAATACTTTTCATTAATCTATCAATTTAAAAAAACACGTTGCATACATCAGGGTATCTGCAGGCCGTAAAGTCTTAAAGCTATATTGTACACAGTTGTGGGTTGTCAGGAGACTTTATACACCCATTAACTACAAGGGAGACTAGCCACCAGTTTAGTCGATTCATTGATTCACCATGTAGACTATATGTGAGAAAATGGGAAAAGCACAAGGTGACAACTTCAGATTGTTTTGTCCAACCAACAGTCCAATACCCAAAGACATTGAATTAACAATGATATAGATAGAAAGGAAAAGCTGGAACCAGGGAATGTTCATTGATTTTCTGTCGATTCATTATTTAGTCTCAGGTTTGGTTACATGGCATATTCAATTAACCACATTGTGATGTTTGCCTAAATGAGTATAAACTTGCCACGTAGATGCAAACACACACAAGAAGCAGATGGAAATGCACATGCACACATAAAATGGCCCTGTAGCTTCAGTTCAGAATCAGAAAAGAAACCAAATAAGCCACTTGGATAAACAGCAAAACATTTCAACGCCACAATAACAACTGAATAATTTTGATAATGAACCTGTACAACTGAAATAACCACCCACTCTCATGGAGGATCACAGATCTGATCTGGCTAACCCAGAGAGGACATATATTTGTGAGCCTGGTCAGCTCTGACTGCTTCTTGTGTGTCTCAAAGGAGTATGTGAACAAAGAAATTCATAATTACACTCTAAATGCTGTTGGAATTGAGGTAATTCAACAGAAAAAAACAGCCCTCATCTGAAGCACTTTAACCATTCAGCATCCCATTATGTATCCTCTTACATCTTTCAAATAGCCCATCAAAGTTCTCTCCCCCTCTGCTCCCTGGTCCTCTCAGATATGAAGGTAACAGTAAGCCTGAGGGGTCCACACCAGGATTGAGAAAGAAAGGCTGTATTGTGTTCAGTACGTGTAACAGAGGACAGGAGGGGTTACCACAAGGTAACTGGAGGAACCCAGAGGAAGCATTAACTGCATGTGTGTTGTCTTTCCGTCACAGAGGCCCTGCACTTCCAGCAGAAATTGGACGAGACTACAAAGCTCCTGTGTGACTTACAGGAAGCACAGAAGGAGCGTCTGAGCGCCAAGCAACCACCTAACATGATTTGCTTGCTGGCCCCGACTGCGAAGGAGCTGGAGCTGGGTAAGAGCCTCTCAGTGCATGGCCCCCTTTGTTTCTCCACTCAAACCGTCACCACCAGCTGTAGACCTCTAACAGCACCCCATTTACCTCCTTACCAGCTCTCCTACACAGATGTGCTTTGCTTTTAGACAAGAATTCACATTTGGACAGAGCTCTGATTCAAATAACTAACGCTAACATTAACTTAATTCCCAGGAATGTATTCTTTAATCCCAGGGCCACTAATGAAGTACATTTTGGTGTAGTATGTGCTAAGAATTTATGACTGAATATTTACGCTACCTTGGGAAAATGTGTCAGAATGACGAGTACTGTCAGATCTTTTCCTTGGATTTTACATCCACTAAACTGACTATTGCTGCTCAAGCTAACCACCACTCTTTAAGTCTGTACTGTAAGTATGAAGCTACCACCAGCGCCTGGTTAGTGTAGCATGAAGACTGGAAACAGCTATATCTATCTCCGTCCAAAGGAAGGAAGTCCAGCTCTGTAGCTCACCAACTAACTCCTAATATCTCGTTCAATCAGTACCAAAAAAAACAACTGATCACAGTGAGGTTTAGGGTTGGGTATCGGTTGGGTTTTATCCGGTACCGGTGCCTACTCTGTATTTTTTTAAACGGTTCTCGAACCGCTACTTAAAAAAAACAAAACCACACACACTCAAAAAACAATACCCTTTTATTTCCAGGGCCAAATTGAACACAATATTAAGTTAACCACATAGCACACGTTGTCACTCACGCTGTTGAATGGCAACGGTGTTTGCTAGCCTACTTGACATGCATGATTTGCGGTTGGCATTAAATTACTAGACTTACCTGAAGAGGAAAGGCTGCTGTCATCATCATCATCATCAGTGATGTCCACCACCACACTGGCAGGGCTGGGAGTCTCTTCAATTTGTCCGATGAGGCCGACACTGGCTGCGGCTGCTGAAGTGCTTGGCCTTGCGTGACGTAACGTGAGGTTATCAAACCCGGTGCATTGTTCGGCTTTAAATAAACTCCATGTGTCGCCAGATGTTTCATTGAATTCGACGTGTTACCTCCCTTGCATGCAATTGTTTTATGGCATCTATTGCATGTCGCTGAGTCTGCATCCTTAGACGTGAAATGCAGCTAAACCTTGGAGCGTTTTGCCTTCGGCCTCTCCATTGATCCTCTCACTATCAGTTCTGATAAACAAGTGTGCTGAATAGCGGCACTGACATCACGCAAGTTGACACGGAACACCAGGGGGCGGTAAACCCCCCCTCGTTATTACCGTTTACTAAGGACACCTTTATGGTACCCAACCCTAGTGAGGTTGCTAGGCAACCAGCAGAGACTTCAGGAAGTTACTGCTCCCTGCCCCCTTAAAACCATAACTTCTTAATAGTTTTTATACTTATATACTATGCTGAATTAAACAAACCAGATCCAATGTGTTCATTAGTGAATTACTTTTGGACAGAGCCGGGCTAAAGCTATACTAACTAGCTGCTAGCGGTAGCTTGTATGAGAGCTTGTAATCTTCTCATCAAACTGTTAGCCAGAAAGTGGATGAATGCATTTCCCAAAATGTCAAACTACTCTTTAAACATAAAGACATAAAGGTTGAATCAGTAGCAAACAGGTAACAGAACCATGACCGACTCCACCCACCTACGATTGGCCCGGACGGTCTCTTTTTACAGTGCAAATAACAAACTATGCAATTTTTTGTCTTGGTAATGTTTCCTTTTTGACTCTTCCTGTCTGCAGCTGAGAAGGTGACCGGGAACCTGGCGGAGCTGACCGGTCAAGTGGCTCCATGTGACGTCAGCAGCGTCCACGGCATCAGGAGAGCAATGGGCATCGCTGCACCTCCAGAACCACCTGAGCCCTTCATTGATCTCACCACAGGTAATACCTTACGAGACCCATTGAAAGTTGTGAAGTAGTCTTTTTTTCACTTGAATATTTTGTATCTAAATATAAACGTGACATTTATTTGTCTGCCATTTCGGAAGTCTGAACTTAACCTTATAAATACAGAGTTTTAGCAAGAGCTTAGCACATCTAACATTATATTTTTCATTGTTTTCAGTGCAGGAGATGGCTGAACCAATGGAGACCTTGTCCAGTTGTCAGGATACGGCTCCAGTCGTCACTGTATAATTAAATTCCACCCACACAGCTCAATAACTTAAGTTTTGTACGAAATATGCTTTTTGTGTGACATTTGTATGCATGTCGATTAATAAACCTTTTTTATACAAACCTTGGCTCTTGTGATATGACAAACTGCAGGCTTAAGAAACATTTATTAAAATCTAACTGTACAGAATTCAATGTCACATTTAACATGAAGGTCAATACATCATCATCATCGTTATTTTCATTATTATTTTCATTATTATTATTATTATGTAACCACAATTACAGACAAGATGATGGTCTCAAAAAAATAAGGCCACAAGACAAATCAAGTTTTCAGAGATGCAGAGAGCGATCCAGAAAAACATTCACAGAAGGCAGATGGTTCAATCACAAAGACTCCGAGACACCAAGGAGAGTGTCACAGGTTTCCCTCATTGCAGCACATATACAGACAAGCAGCAACACTTTAACAGAGGACAGACATACAGCACATGGATTTGTCCACTTCCTCCTGAAATGTAGCAAATATGTTGCCATATATGTAATATTAAACAGTTGTTACAGCTGGAATCTACTCCCTAATCTTATTGGGCAATCAAAAGGAGTTGAGGATACAGTAACTTAAGGGTTTGCAGCACGGCCAGAAAGTGAAACTTTTCATTGTGTGAATGTGTCCCAAAGACAGGAGCAGGAGAGGATGTTTTCTATATCTTTACCTTCTGTACAGCCTGTTTCTGATATTGAAACAGCTCACATATGCCATGCTCATTACACAGTAACAGAGCAGTGTGCCCATCCCTCCTCACACAGGACAACCAGACGGGTTTCAAATTATGATCCCAAAAGAATCCATTGTTTTGTTTTTAAAGGACCGTAGAGCTCTTCAAAAATTACTGTACAAACTGTATTTGGCATTAGTACAATACACACTTTTTCTCTATCACAAACATCAAAGTTAAAGACAAAAAAAGTACAAAAGTGACTGATCACTGGACGTGTAATGTGTCCGTGAATACAAAAAAACGGTGACTGTACGTACTGACCATCTGTCCGACAGGGTGCGAAGAGTACAAAGTGTTGATTCATGGTGACATCCACGACACAGCGAGGCAGCACTTCCTGTAAGTCCTTAATATTCAGCAACATCACAGGGACACAGCTGTATTACAGTCAGCTCTGTGTCAACACTTGTGGCATACGAGTCTATAAACTCTTGACTTGTGAGTCTGTGTCCAGTCCTGTTGGCTGTGGCGGCCTGGCCTCAGCTCAGCCCCATACCCTGCTGCTTGCTCATGTCGGTACACACAAAGAAGGTTTTCAGCTCCCCTTTGCCCTTCACGTTGATGAATCCTCGACACTCGCACGAGTAGCCCAGCTTGTGCAGCACAGCCGTAGTTTCCTCTGTTACCTGGAAGGAGACACAGAATGCGCATCTGCAGCTAAGAAAACCAACCAAATACCATCTCTAACAGCAAGTTTGTTGCTAAATTAATACAGTAGTCACTGTTAAAAGCGGATAAAATAGTCAAACTTGGGACAGAGTCAGAAATTGGATCTTTCTAAATCCAGCCATGTTGAGATCTGCAGTAAAAAACTAGGGAGCATCAACCGTGACCATTTGATCTTTAAGAACACTTCACATAGATAAAAATATATTGCTGCTGGCCTCTGTTCAGCTCAATGTACCTGGATCTTTCCGAGCTCCCCGGTGGTCTCCATTCTGCTGGCTACGTTAACTGTGTTGCCCCAGATGTCATACTGCGGTTTCCTCGCCCCGATCACTCCAGCTATCACTGGACCATGATTAATTCCTGTGGAAAAACACACTATTTTATCATACCTTGGTATAATTCTCATGTACAGAATTTACAGAGACAGTAAGAGTGCGTAGAGATAAAACACATGATGAGCATAAGATTCAATAAGACAAATGAATCTATAGATGTCAGATTGCACACAGGGTCAGTGGGTAGTTCTGCCAGAAAAGGTTTAAAGTAGGTGTTACGTCTGCTGTCTTGTGCCCTGTTCCAGGTACTGCCCTCCCCTCCGACTAGTCACTAGTTACTCCCTCGGTGGAGGGACACCGTTATTCATATTTATTTGTTGTCTCAGTGGTTTGTTTAGCTCAAATGGTTTTCGCTTCCTTTCTTTTTAGGAAGTTGTTTTGTGTTAACATTTGACTTCATTTATGTTGAAATAAATTGTCGCTTCTCTTTTCCCCTGGACCCCACAACTGAGGTCGTAACAGTTGGCCAGAATGAAAAAAAAACAAACAATGAAAAACATTTTCATTCATTAGTACAATGCTGTTGGATTGATGTCATTTTTGTCAAGGACATTAACCAGCAAAGCGTTTTTTTTTTGAGCGGGCCACAATTTTTCAAGTCAGTCAAACAGGGCTGAACAAATGGACAATACTGTAGCACTGTACAGTGTGCAGACCTACATCAAATGCTTCCCTGAGGACCAAGACAGCAAAGACATTAAAAATTGACTGCATCTATCAAGAAGTCGGAGTGTTAAAACTGGCAGAAGCATAATCTCATTAAAATGGACAGGGATTCTTTGGATTTGCTTAACTTATGTCAGCAAACATTAGATAGATATTGTCTAACTGGCATTACTGAGATACTTCTCTGACTTTATGACTCGGCTCTATTTGTGCTACTGTTACACTATGTTTTAGCATTTACTTTTATCCTGTAATGGCCATGTGTGGCCACAGTGGCCACTGTTCAACTAAGTAGACTGGCTTAAAGGCAGGAGTGTTATTTGGATAAGGAGTGGAGAGCAGTTTAGCTTTATTCTGTTTAAAAGGTTCTACCTTAAATTTTAATGCAAACAATGAAGCAATTTAAGAAACTGTTTGCACCTAGAGAGACCAACATATCAACTGCTTGTGAGACTGGCACCAGAGGAATCACAAATGTATGATGTCACTGTTTGAAGAAAAACACTGCAGAAAAGTGGAAGTTAGTGGATTTTATTTCAAAGTCACATGACGGAGCCGCTGATAAGGGCAGCACTCTGTTAAAGAAAGTTTATACCACTCAGTGCAAAATGTCAGTGTTTATGCCTGATGTTCGTTTTTATCTCCCAAGAAATGTAAATGTTTTAACCAAAACTTTTATCCAAGATGTCTGCTCACAATCAACTGTGTGGGAATAACTGTGTCAGGACTGCAGACACAACAGACAGAGGTTTAGGTCTGTCAGACACTCGACTGGGTTCCGTCTCTTTTTAATGGCTTGATTATGACATTTACTTTATGTATTATTTGATGTGCTTCAGTTAGCCAGACTCATTTACGAGTGGAAATTTAAAATAAGCCCATAGATCCTCAACATTACGGGCAACCACAAAGAAGATGCTACAAATCACTGTCAACAGTTACAGTAACGTAGGTTTAACTTCTACTACTTCTTCTGAGTACAACACGACAACCTAATATTCAAGTGTCAGTGAAGGCCACTGCTCTCATGGCAACAACACTTCATAAATGCCAATCATGTACAGTGTAACCAAGGAAACCTGCTGGGTTATTGTGTCCACACTAACAGAGCTGGATACAGTGCAATGCAGCATTCAGTCAATGAAAGCTTTACACCGAAGCTGCCAATCAGCTGAGCACACTCACCCACACGCAGCCTGAAGCTATTGAAGGAATGTCTGTTGATGCCATCCAACTTGCCAATCAGAGCAATGGCAAACTCCACCATGATCCCTATCTGGGCCTGCTGCCTCTCTCTGTCCTGAAAAGAAAATATCATGCAACATACTCATTATGTCTGCTTCAGGTTTTGTGGTTTATTTTTTAATGTGACCCTGGTCTGAAGCAGTAGCTACTCCACCTGATTGTTCTCTTGACCAGGCGTCCCACTAAGCCCTGCAGCCGCCATGTAAGTGCTGCCAATCGTCTTGATCTTCTCCACACCGCTGAACTTTGGCTTGGACAGCAGCTGTTGGGTTAGAGAAAGAACAATGAGAGTGATGTGTGGTAATTTCATCATCCCTCCGTTCATCATTTTACAGTATTTATTCTTGATTCTTAAACTCGACTTTAGATAATAATGGCTGCATAACCCTAACCCTAACCCAAACGCCAGGGTGCACATGGTTATTATTTAGGATTGGAATAAGTGCGTGGACCACGCTACCGATAACAGATTGGGGCTTTAGAGACACATCTGTCACGTATCACAGAGAAGTGCTTGGCAACGAATTGGGGGATGAGGATGAAAGAATGTTTTTTTGTTGTCGTTCTTTCTCTTCCTGACCTCGTCAAAGTCTGCGATGATCTCGTTCAGGAGCCTCAGGCATTCCAGGCCCTCCTTGTTGATATCACACTCGGTGTAAAACTCTTTGAAATCTGGCACTGAGGCGAACATCACACACACACAGTCATAGGACTTGTAGTAGAGATCCTGTCGGGGGAAACAAACCCAAAAATACAAAAAGCGCTGTTATTGGTTTACGCAGGTGGAGACTGAGATTGTTAGGCCTCCATTAACTACTACTACTTCTGCTGATAATGGAAACCTGCTATATCCATCCATGAACATACATTTTTGCAGCATGTCACCATTACAAAAAAAATCATTGTCAGTGAGTCAACAGTTGGCACTCTGAATATGCAGTGTCATGTTTCAAGAGATTCCCTCTGCCTCTCAGTAAGTGCAGGCCATAATACTTTGATTTTGATCCAACACACCCAGTGAAGCCTCACCTCATTCTTTTTATTCTCTCCAACAAACAGCGCAGCCACGTGGGCTGGCAGCACGTTCTCCAGCAGCAGACGGTTCACGTTCTCCCGGGTCTCGATCTGATCCTGCTCTGTGCGGTTCTTATACTTAAGCAGGAAGTCCCGGCGGAAGCAGGACTCATTCTGGCACAAACACAGTGAGGTTAGAGGAGACAATGAAGAAACCCATAACTTAAAACAAATTACATAGGTGTTTCCCTTGATTTCTTGCAGCCTCATTGATTTATTTACTTCTTATCAATTTTTACAATTGCTAGAGAGAGAGAGAGAGAGAGAGAGAGAGAGAGAGAGAGAGAGAGATACATTAATGAGAAACAATCTGTTTTAAATCTCTTAATCTGTTTTCAGTTTGTCTGTTTGGGATGTGAGGGATAACAATGCGAAAGAAGTGAATCAAGGACAGTGAGGTGAAGGTTGTCACTACCTGATGTGAGATGATGACCATAGTGACCAGGAACAGGGCGATATATATGCAGCTCATCTGCCAGGGGTGTTTCACCAGCCCCATCCATTTCAGGATGCATTCATCTTCATTGCTGCAGAACAAACCACAACATTCATGGCTGGACTACACTTTCATTTACACTTTTCATTCAAGATTACAAGACTTTCTACATTCGGTCGCACCTGCTGGAGTTCCAGTTGGTATGGTTGTTAATGTAGAGGAAGTTTTCATAGAGCACGAAGAGTTCCCTCTTGGTGCTGAGGATGATGATGTAGTATACTACCGAGGCCAGGATGAGGAAGAGCACTTTGAGCTCAAAGCTCACCCGGAGGAATACTCCACATGCAATGAGCGACAGGATACAGCAGTACACAGAATACTGGTGGGGAGAGAGGCGAGGGATGGAATTAAAACCAGAGTCAAATAACAGTAGCAACAAATCCAGTGACAATTTATTTTAACAACCCCTATTTAGCATTTATTAGCAGTACATAACCAATGAATAAAATGTTTTATAATGATCATTATGTAATTATGATTAAATTTATGAATATTATTATGTAGTTGGAAACAGAGATAAGGACATTCATTATTTGACAATAACTATCACTCCTCTGTGGAGCATCTATAGGTGCTGTATATAGAGAGAATATGTATTCATATTTAATATGAACATGAATGGTTTTTCATGTTTATTGATTACATCCATATATATATATATATATTTATATTATATTTATGAGCTGATTGCAACTATTCTTATTTATTTTTTTATTTTTTTTAAACTTTTTTTTTTTGGGGGCTTTCCCCTTTATTTGATAAGACAGCTGAAGATAGACAGGAAAGGGGGGAGAGAGAGGGGAGGACACACAGCCAAGAGCCACAGGTCAGACTCGAACCCATGCTGCAGCAAGGACTCTACCTTTGTACATAGGGTTTCAGCTCTACCAGGTGAGCTACAGTGCACCCCAAGATGATTATATTTATTAAGAATGTATTTATAAAACTCCTCTTCTATCCATGACAACTGACAAAACTCTATCATCTACTCACAGATGAAAGCTCCAAAGGAAATCAAGCAGGTGGACCCTGAGTTAAGAATTTTTTGTCAAACTTATTAGTGTAATCAATCATTAGTAACTGTGTGTGTGTATGATCAATATCAGAGCCTTGGATCAAATCTGTGTTCAAATTCTTCCTAATTGGTCGTTCTGCCTACGTAGGCAGCTGATATGATGGTGACAGACTTACGAGCCACAAAATCATTATGGCCATTCAATAAATCATCATTAAACCTCAGCGTCTGTGACTTATATCATAAAGACAGACACATTTAGTGACAGATAAAACAGAGACCCAAATTATAATCTTGAATGTTTTAATTTTAATAAATGTCTGTTAAGTCACTATCTATTGCCATATGAGCAACCACAATGGTGATCGAGCCTATGGCCCACTGATGAAAGCCTTTGCATCTGCAGTATTGTGTGGCGCCGTTCTTGGGGAAAATGCCGCACTATGTCACTGATAATGCAAAACCAACTTTTCCTACTTCTGCAGAATTACATTAAAAGCATCTAACTGGTGAATCACCAGTTGAATTAAATTATACTATAAGGAAGTCACAGGAAATGGAGCATGCCACAGTGAGCTGTTGGATGAAGAGCTGCAGGTGGCGGGCTGCACACCTCCATCTTCTCAGCAAGGTAACGGCTCCTTTCACTGTGTCCTGCCGTTCACTGACTCATACTGTGTGCAGCAAAAATCACAGATCACAGTTGCTCAAAACATGATGGAAGAAGGCAATTTATTGCCGGACTTCTTTACTGAAATGACAATAGTTTGTTTGGCAGCACAGAACAAACCTGTATTGGTACTCAACCGCACTTCCTGATACCACCAGTAACCACAGGTGTTGGCAAATCAACCCGGACTGAAATCTTGATTATGACTCTAAGTACGAAGAAGGAACATCTATGGTCCTGATTTCTAGACAAATTCAAGTACGCCTCAAAATTCAATTGGACTGATTTAGCATAGACTAGGAAAATACCCAGAGCGGTTGCCTGCTGTTATATGCCATATAGATTAAGATAGGATTAGATAGTAGAGTAGTAGATTAGATTGTAATTTAAATGTCATATTGTGGACTGGCAGTTACCTCTTTTAGCCTGAGTCACCCAATAATCTACATTCATCTAGCAGGGCCCAAATCTAATTTATCAAACATTTTGATGAGGCGTCTGATGGTCCATGCATTTTTTACCCTTTGGTATTGTTGCCTTGAAAAGCCCTCCTCCTGACATTATGTCTTCTCTGGCACTCCATTAAGCACATGCCAGAACTATTTGCAAATACTATTTAATCCAATCTGATATGAAAAAACATTAAATATTACCATTTCATTATTACAGTCAGTCTACAGTTAACAAATCCATCACTCACAGGCAAGTAGAAGAGATCTTCCCCTAATCCCTGCGGACAGGAATCATTTGAATGAGGCAGGTCAGCAATATGTGTCGGAATGAAGTACTGCAGGGGGATAAAAAAAAAAATTTGATGGACAGTCAACCACTGGACAGTGTGCTTTGAAGTCTGGCATGACAGCTATGAAGTGTAGACTATAAATAGCAGAGCAAATATATATATGACCCTCTCTCAGCACTCAGCATGTGAGCACAGTCTTACCAGGTTGAAAACTGCCATTACAATGATGACCGTAGTAGTGATGGTGGCCAGAGCGAGGCGCACACACGGACGCTTTACCACCGCCTCCGACACAGCTGGCAGCCACTGGCACCTCGACAGCTTCTCTGGAAACAGGCGCTGCAGACAAAAAAGAGAAGTGAGGAGGAATACGGAATCAAACAGGTATGACGAGCACAGTCATCCATCTCCAGACATCATGTGTGAGTGACTCAGCGCTGGCTATTTCCAGTGAGGGAATCTGTCTGAGAGGAGGAGGAAACACTGCCCGTCAAGGACCGACTGTCAGTTGTCATCCAACAAGTCAATAGGTTAGCTATAGAAAGCTACAGCACAGTGAATGAAAGGGATACCTTCCATTGCATTTTCCATTCTCACGCTGGCTAATTCTGCCACAGTGAAACACATACCCCTTTAACCCCTGTCTTTATTTAGTCAAGCACTTGACTATTATAATATGTTTGTGTTACTGTGTTTTTGACCAATGAGCCTCTTATAGTTGTGGTCTTACTACTGAAGCACAAGAGAGCACTTTGTTGTCTTAGATGACTTGCCTAAAGCTCTGCATTATGTGAAGAATGCAAGGACATTACGCAACATTAAAACAATAAATTTGATGTGATTAAACATGAAAAAGACATCAAGATTTCAGTGTTTCTCTTCCAATGTAAATAAAGACCGAAATGGTTGTGCAGCTCCACATCGCCTGACCCAAAATGTATGCATTTGTTTTTAGATTTAAAGTTAATTCCTTGACCTTGGGAACAGCAGTTGCCACAGCAATCTCACCACCAGCTTAGCAGCACACAATCTCACAACTATTTTGTTTTTAATTTAAAAATTCTCATCTGTGTGTTGCTTGTTGCGTAATATAGCCCAGATAATGGGGAGTAAGCTTATGGAAGACTATTGACAGATGATGAGTAAAATTACATTTTTCCTAAAGGCTGGCTGTATTTTATGGTTTTTGTCTTGTGTGGCTTTCACGTCACAGAAATATAACAATAATCTATAAATAATCTCACATTCACTGAATAACCCTTCAGAGCATACACATGTAATCTGGGTCGGGGCCAAGCCAGCATTATACAATGTGGAACCTTAACACATGTTGCTGGAAGAATGACAACCCTTTTACACTGACCTGCATCCAGTGTGAGATGAGAGGTTGCTCCAAGAGCTGCTGTGAGGCTTATTTGTTTCCACTTTCTACAAACCTAAATGCTAACTGGAACAAACTGAAAAGCCTGACAAGAGCTAATACCTGAACTTTGGTCATCTAAATAGCCTAATGTTAAATGTCAACAAGAAGATATAACACACTGACCTGTAAGTGACCTGCAAAACAGATGGCCAGGGTCAGCAGCAGCACACAGACCAATACTCCAAATGACATCCCCAACATCTGTCGACTGAGGGAGATAAAAAGCAGAGTATGTAAAAAAAAATAAGTCTCTAGCCTCTCCTTTTTCTATCAATACAAACAACATCCTCATAGTGTATGTCTTCTTCCCTACTGCACTGCATTCTTACTGCTGACAACATTGCAATAGATTTTTGATAACAGAGGAAAATCTGGTCATACTCACTCCTTTGTCACAAGCATCTGAACCAAAAAGATGCAGAGGAAGATGAAGGTGGCACAGCCAACATAGTGTTTGAACATTGGCAAATCCAGGGATCGGTACTTGGAAGAGGAAAAACACAACACACCTGAACATCTTGTCTTGCCCCTGAATACTTAAATGGAAATGTATGACAATGTGGAATTATAGATGCTTTCAATTATCTATTTGTAGCTTTGTCTCCGACTAACCTGTTTTTCCAAATCTTTCTTCGGAAACCACAGAGCTAAACTGCTACTCTCTTCAGTCTTAGACCACTGCCTGATAGAGAGGAAGAAAGGAAGGGAGGTAGGGAGGTAGGAAAGAAGAGATAAAAAATGAAGAATAGATAATTGCTCAGACTTTCAAACACTTCAATGTCACACGTTTAATATCTATACTGTGACTGTTTGTAAGATAAACATTTTACAAAGAGAGTAATTAGAGGATTATGATTATGACAAATTACGATTATAACAGCACCATCTTGATATCATTATGTCTCACAACAGTCAGTCAACTTTATCCTGAAGGCATGAATGTTTGTACTAAATTCATTTGCAATCCATTTCATAGCTCTTAAGATATTTCAGTCTAAAATGGTGGACTGACCTACCAAACAACCGATAAACCAACACTACCATCCACAGAGCCATACTGTTAGCAAGATTTGTTCAAACTTTACATGATATCATTCATTTAAACTTGAGAGCTTTTTCACAATATGAGAATTTTGTCACTTTGATGTTTTTCAGAATTGAACAGAGTTGCTGTTTTTTCTGCCCCGTCTGATTCGATGCAAATTTAACCTTTAGTCATACTTTCATGCAATTTGGGTTACATTATTTTAAGAATTATACAATCTGGGTAAAAATGGACATACTTGCTGCTGAGCTCATCTATGGTAGTAGTCATCTCATTGTGTAGCTCCTCATCAAACTTACTCTTCTGGGATTTGTTCCTGCACCGGAAAGCACAGAGACTATTAAGAAGAGGCAGATGGACAGACCCAGAAACACAAGTGGACTGTAACAGATGCTGGAAAACCAGATCAGATCATGCAGGTTACTCAGGTCCAGTTCAGCTGTGCTCGGAGGCAACGTGGTTAATGCAATTCTGATTAGTGAGAAAAGAGAAATCTGGTTTGTTACGTAGAGAGAGTGTGCCGGATGCAGAATGCTGTGTGTTAGATGATCTCTGTGGGATTCAGCAGGAGTGTTTCTGCCGTGCTTCTGCATGGAAATCCCCTACTCTATCAGGAAGGAAACACTCACACAGATGCACAGACCCAGATACATACAAGCCCCAGTCAGTGATCAGTGTTAATAGGAGCATGTCAGTCCACTAACAAAGGTCATTGGGTTTCTATTGGCTTTTGTGATCATATGTTGCCCTGTTACGGAGAGGCAGCAGTGAGAGACAGTGAGAAAAGAACAGTTTTACACCACTGCTCAGGTTAGTGTTGGGACAGCAAGACTCAATAGGCAATAGTTCTCACCCTGTGGGACAGGACATCTCATAGACATTTTTTGGGGTGTGGGACTTACAGAATGATTCATTAATGTTAATTATGAATAATTATATTAATGATATTTGTTATGTAAGAAATGTACAGTGTATATGTATTATCTTAAATGAGTCATTTTAGCCTTTACCCTACTCCCACAAAATTTGATCAATTCAACAAATATTAAAATAATTGCTTTTGGGAAACTGCATGAAGCATAGTGATTACTGGGTACTAATCTGCAATTTAAAACAATGATAGAAATTCAAACACCTTATTTACAAAATGTGAAAGCTCATTTACACTTAAAACAAGTGGCTATGAGCAAGCAGCATTTGTTTTTGCTCTTAGGGGTCACAAAAGGTTGAGAACTACTGCACTACGGGAATGAGGACCTTGCAGGCCATGAAGGCTCCACTCACTTATAGCTGCTGAACGGAGGGGTAGGCAAGGAGAATGGTTCTTCTAGAGATTCATCAAAGCTGTCAGGGCCCAACAATAAGATACAAACACAAATTCATCACTACAGGCAGGAGCGGTGGGCAGCCAAAAACACAAAGACACACTGACAACTGTTAACCAACTATTAACCACAGAAAAAATACACTCTGCTACAAAATGTCATCAAGCTTGAGTGGGTGAACCTCATTTCACTGTCACTTCAGTCTCAGACGTGTTCACCAGCTGCTGCCTCAGCTACAGTGGACTGTGCATACATGAATGAAATTAACAATTTCCGAGATAACACAAACCTGGGGTGGAATGCTTGCGCTTTTAGGCACACACTTATCTCTTCTAATCACATTACTCCAGCCCACACTGTTTGTGTAGGTGAGTCCTGCCCACTAATCAGCAGCTACACTTTAAATATTTGTCCTTATGCTTACTGCCTGTGCCAGACAGGAAAAGAGAATTAACCATTATAAGCTACAACCATAATCAATTTGTCTGTGCATTATTTGAGGCTAATGGAAGGGCTCGTCATAGAGCTCAGCACTCCCACCACTCTGCAGGAAATGACTGCTAGTGCAGCACAGCTGTACTAAGCAGACCCTCAGTGACGACATTTTGTTGGCAAAATGTTTTGTTTGCAGGTTGAGACCAATTACTCTAAGTCTCCTTTTGCTTTGGGAACATGTATTGACTTTCACTGACTCATTAAAATAGCAGCATCATTAATAAAATGATACCTCTAAACATCGAGTCATTTCTTAAAAAATAAAAGTCTGTTAAAAAGTTATGCACTGATCAATGATAGTCTGTCGGCACCAATCTTTAGCCATGTAAATTCTGCTTGACCGAGGCAACCCTAACCTTAAATCTCATAAATATGAATGTGTGCCAACTAACCACCACTAAGACTTTAAGGTTAAACAGTAATTTTCTCATTTCCCCTCTCTGCTACGTGGCATTTACACACAGCAGCTCAGAGATGGTTTGTTACATACACCTCCACATCATCTGTATGAGTAAGACACTAAGCAACCTGCCTGTTAACTTTAAATCACTTTATATAACTCAACTGGTAATAAACGTTTAAAATGTGGATCACTCATCCACAAGCAAAAAAAGTCTAAGACAATGTGACTCAAAGGAAAATCTCACATAATCTAACATGTCCCCAGTTATCACCACAATCCTTGCCCAGTGGTGACATCATTCCATCAAAATGTCTAAGCTCCCATGAAAAGAAATCTTCTTATACATTATGATAATCTCTTTGCATAAAGTTGAAGGGAAACACTCTTCCCTCACGGCCATCGGGATGCTATTGAGCAACAGCGTTGTTACATGGGCCGACATCCAGGGTGAATGTGTGTGAGCAGGCACTATCACAGCTGAACATACCTGAAAAATAATTATAGTCACAAAATGGGTGCTTGGGTATTTATTTTGTAGTTACTGTAGCAGCTCTGAGTTGTTCTCACCTGTCAGGGATCTTGGAGCTGTGGGCTGTTCGTAGAGGGATGTCCTGGAAAAGACAGGGACAGCATTCACCCAGTAAAAATGCATGATAATGAGAGTGGTGAAGGCCAAAACCTAGGGAACTCAATTTATCCAACTTCTTCTTTAGAGAAATACTTCCTCAAACCCCTCACAAGAAAATGATTTCCTTAAGTCATTGTGTGCCTTCTTCCTGTCATAGATACCTCTCAAACACTATTTCAGTTATTCATCAGAGCATAAGCTTTTTCCATTATGGGTGGAGGCACAGTGCAGCACACAGTAAAAAGATAGTTTGTCATATATTATTTCCTGAATAATTAACACTGTGAGACCATGCCTTGTATCTGTACACTATGCTTCAACATGGGCTTCCAGCAGAAGTTGGTGCAACAACTAAAAAAAAACCAACAAACATGCTTACCCTGTTGCGTGGCTTGCCGTTGACAATGGTGTCTGGGGTGAAGCCCTCTCGCCTCTGAAGGTGGGCAAAAGGTTTGACGGCCCCCCAAGATTCCAGGTAACGGGTCATACGCACAGATGCTCGCATCTTCAGGCCATCGTTCACCCGAGGTTTAGGCGCACTCCGGCTGTTGGGTGGGTCCTTAGACTTAAGACATATGCATAATTAATATTACATTTACGCTAGACTGTGGGCATTGAGTTAAAGGTCTAAGGCACAAAAATTTGAAAAAGTACTTTCCAAAATGATAGAAGTCATTAGGGAACACTCAGTGATAGCATTCTTTCACTAAGGCTGGCCTCTAGAAAATATTTTTTTTTTTTTGGAGAATACCAGACAGAATGCTAACCAATTTTGCAGGATTGCTCGGAGGTCATAGGTGCATGGGTTACACAATGCATGGAAGACTTTTATGTACAAATCTGTTGAAGAGTAGGGGGGATCTGTAAGCAGAGTGATAATGAAAGCAGAAAATGTTTTGCCAAAAAATCTAAATGGCAGAAAATCTATTTATGCAGTGATGGCTGAAATCCAGGGGAAAAGAAACTTGCTTGTATGCCTCATGATCCACCTCAGGAGAACCCAGTAGCAACCAGGATGTTGGGAAAAACATATTAAAAATTTACATTTTACAAAAATGTACAATATGGTATTGTTTAAAAAATTATATTACAATAGATCATATCGACCCTGATTTATAGCATTTGGACTGCAACACTAAAAAGACCCTGTATTGTCTGTATTTAAAACATGTCATCAAAGGTTTAAAATTATGTACATGATTTTCTCTTAATATGCTTCATCATACCAGCAATTATTTGTAAGAGGGCTTTTTTTCAGATACTCTCCCTCACAATGCGCATTTTCAAGAGACAGAGAACTCACCCGTGGATCAATGACTAGGTAGGTTCGGACATTGAGCTCTTTTAAGTAGGGGTCCCTGAGGTGGCCCTCGCCTTCTTCCACTTCATAAGCCTTGTTCAGGTGCTTCAGTGTCGCCTCTGTGATGTGGACACGTCTAACAGAGAGGAAAAGAGCAGGACAAGCAATGAAATACTTTGCATGGCATATTTTAGATGTTTATTTCTTTTACTTGATGGAGATATTTAGTCAATGAATTTCATGATTTGTTCATTTACGGCAATGAACCAAGATTATATCTTAATGTTAGCAAATCCTTAACTCCAATTAAAATTTTATTTTCACCAAAGTGATTGAAAGCCTTTGTTATTGGGAGGCTATTGTCAGACTGAGTAATAACCCTGGTTCCTTCGACAAAAAGGCCACAGGGATTTTTCCACTGGATTTTGGATTATTACAGAATAAGCTCTGTGGCCAACATAAATGTATGATACTTACACGTTTTGTTCATCAAGATAATCTTCATTAATGAGAACCACTTTCATGATTTCTGAAGCATAAATGCAATTGCCGGAAGTAAAGTGCTAACATTAAGCTATAAACAAACTACACCACGGGCGCATGACTTCAGGTCATCACCACCAAGCTTTAAGTGTTTGGCATGATGGCATTTAACATCCACGACAACCTCTGTAGTCTCATTTAGCCACTTGTTAGCAAAAACCTTTCTTAAGACACAAAAAAAGCTTGACTGATGTATTTCATGCCGTAGAACAAAATGAGAAATTTGATGTTTCGTGGCAACAGGAAGGTTGCATGAACCTCAGGAAACCTCAGCTTGTGTAAAGGCAATGTGACAATATTATACATAAATGTGAATAAAGGGTTATGGGACTAAAGTACATACAAGAGATACAGAGGTAGTATCACTTACCCTGGAAGGCCTCCTGACTCCATATGATTGGCCAGGGTGACATCATGTGACCAAACATCAAACTGCCACTTGCGAAGGCCAATCACACCGCAGAGCACATTGCCCGAGTGCACGCCCACTCTCATATTGATATCCACTCCCGTGGCCTCCCGTACCTGTCTGGAGGAGTTTCACAGCAATACTAGAGCTAATCGTTGTTGAAGTTGTTTCTATATGCAAAACACCGTCATTCAAGACACACTGACAGTCTGAGGACAACATTACAATACAGTCCACTGTCCCAATGTCGAAACAAATACATTCTTGACTTTACTGAGTAGAGGGTCTGTTCAGTGGCAGCCCATTCACTAGAGTTACCACTCGCTCAGACTTTACTACTGTTGTAACTCATTCTCCAAGATGACATGCCATTTTCAACAGCTCTAAGCCTCACTGTACAAGATTTTTTAAGTAACACAAACTGTGATGATTCCCTAAACTGGAGAAATAAACTGAGAATGACTCACCCTGCAATCCACCATTACAGAAACACCACACTATCCTCTGAGAGGTTCCACAAATAACTTTTAATACATTTTATTTACATAATTCATCTCAAAACTAAGTGTGCTTATAACATCTCTTTTAAGAGTTAAATGGAGAGACAGTATTTTTCTGCATTAGAGTTCAATGTGAAGGTTGGCACAAACTCACTTGATGGCTTCACACATGTCCAGGCCCATTTTGACGCAGTTCTTGGCATGTTTAGGCAGTGAGACCGGCAAACCTGACACACAGTAGTAGCAGTCCCCAAGGATCTTGATTCTCATGCATTCATTCTCCTATAAGGAATGAGAAAGACAAGACCAAAAAACATGCATGTTTATGCAACCAGGCAACTTATTAAAAAAGTTCCCATAATGCATAAAAAGTGGGTAAGCAGATAGATAGGATATGAGTGTACACACGCCAACACATGAGAGCTGCTCAATACAGCCGCAGTCCTGTACTACTGAGGTTTAAGTGCTTTGGTCGTGGCTTGATAAGAAGAGAGTGTTTCATTGTTCAACTGCCCAACCCAGATTTTCCCAGCCAGGTTGAGGCTTAGCGGAAATCTTGCTGTCACAATTTACTCTAATCTTTGCGTTATTATTGCTACAATGTCTTAAAGTGGCAAATTGCAAGTCAAGATTGGAGGTCAGTGTTGTTAATAATGACATGAAGAAATTCTAAATGATTACTCACCTTGGCAATTTGGTCAAACTTGCCAAACAATTCATTGAGCATGATGACCAGCTCTTTGGGAGAACAGTCACTGGCCAATCGGGTGAAGCCAACAATGTCAGCATACAGAATACTGAAAAAAATAAATAATACACACAAACACGTTAACATAAACAGAAATAATGTCTGCTCTGACATGTAAAATATCACTTATTTTGCAAATGAGATTAATGTATTGATACAAAGAATTTATTTTATTACCTGCACTATTTTTAAATCTCTACACAAAAATAAAAACTACAACCTGAATGATTTGCTCCAATTTTAATTGTAGAAACTAGCAAAACCACAGTGAAAATAGCACCATTCAAAGGCTAAGCTCTCCTCAAAAAGAGACCTCACAGAGACCAGAAAGGTGCTTTCAGGTTTGAGTTACTGTATGACGTTTCACTTGGATGACTGGTGAGCAATGGTAATATATTCATGTCACTTCTATCTGTAATGCCTTGTGATTTAAATGTCCAGACTGCTAACAAAAAACAAATATTGAGAGATATCCCTGGCTTCCATCATTCCATGCAGTGGCTTTTTCAATCAGTCAATCACCCTGACAAACTGATGGGGACCACCTGAATGCACTGTTAGCAATCAACCAGTGTGGAGTGTATTGGAGCATAGTAGGGGCCATGAATCTTACATCATTTGTGTCCTCCAAATGTGGGCCTGATTTTCTCTGCACAGCCTTGTCAGCCCATTATGACCCATTATGACCATTATGGGTACCCGCAATACTGGGTACTGAATTGGGACGTAGGATTTCAGGCAAAAAGCTCCTGACCCACCTCCCATTAACCTCTAGTAGACCTGATCGGTGACAGTTTAAAAGTCCTGTCTGGTTCAATGCTGAATCATAGCCTTGGCATAATTGAAGCTGCCGGTCAGCGGACCACAGAGGACCTCTGAAAGACCCCCGACACCAAAAGGAAAAACAGCTGGAAGTTTGGCAAAAGTCCAGCCCACACAGAGCACCTGACCTCCCTCCCTGCCTTAGCATGGCTGGCCACAGTGGGAACTGAAACTCTAACCATTGCAATGTAAGCCTCAGTGAACACCATGCTCATCTCAGTGAGCTCCAGGAAAAATAGTGATAAATTCTGCGCACGTAAATTACATGGGGTGTGTTTAATTTGACTTTTATATTCCCATTAATAGTAACTCTGCTACATGTCACATTTGTCTGCAAACGATCAACTAAATCCAAGCATAACCACAGTTTACATCATTTCAAACTATGTACATAAATATTCAAAACTCCATGCCCAAACCACCACAAATATCCATTTGCAATGCACAGGGCTGACTACTATTACTGGCTGGTTGCAGCTTGGCCTGAGCACAACGGCCAGTCTGCTGACCAGCAGAGGGACACAGACACTGCACCTGACTTGATCCTGTTCCACTGAAAATGTCCAGGTGGCTTCATGAGACAGACGCAGCTAATGACTGGTCTGACTGGGGTAATTATAGGCATAGGTCAGGGGTGCAGCCTATCATTAAACACCTTCTTATCATGGCCCTAAATGAACATAACTGATGCCTTCACAATGTCTCTTGATTAGCAGACCAAAAGTTTAGTGATTTTAGTGTTGAGTGAAGATTACCTTCATAAACACCAGAGTGGATATTAACAACACAACCATTTTCTGTGTGTTTTTGCTATTTGTGTTACCATTACAATTACAAATACATTTTATGCCAGCATTACATATTTTATTAAACCGATCGGAAGTGAAATTGCTGAAAAAAACATTTGCATTAAAAAAACGATGCCACAGAAGCCACAACACTAGGTTTCCGGGAAACTACAATGCAGTTCCCTCAGTGAGGTAAGGCAGACATTGAATCTTGCCTACATTTATCTGAAAAAATGAGCTTGTGAGCCATCTGCCAAAGTTCAGTTTAAGCTGACCCAATATCTGTCAGCACTTGCTAAATTAATGAAACCCTCGTAAAACAAAGAGCTGTAACTGGGTCACTGCTCTAAAAACAAACAGACATAATAATCTCCATCATTATGAGAAGCAGTCATGGAAATCTGCTTTTTGTGTGCACTTTTTTATATTTGTGCCTCATCTATGTTTTATGGAGTGATGTGAATAGTAAAAGCTTAAATATAAGTTTCCCTGGGACCAACTAATTGAGAATACAGACAAAGTAGACTGACTGTCAAGTCAAATCAGTCTGATTAAAGAGACATTTTTATTTTTCAAATAAAAAAAATATAGCAAAAAATTGTTCAGAGAGCTAGACAAATTTTTTACTTTGCTGATTAGATTAGAAAGAACATTTCCACAATTCAGTCCTACTGGTTATAAGTCATAACCCTTCTCAGGTGATTTATTTTACGTTTTTACAAATGTAGTCCGAGGCCCGAGACTCTATCTCTGGTTACTAGCTGTAAGCAGTGAAGGACCAGGTCACAGACACTTGTTACATTTATAATCTCACACAGGACAGTCAAAATACTTCCACTGACACTTTACAAAAAATCATAAGTATGTAGAAGCACACCTGAATGCCCTCAAAAGGCCTTGATGGAGGATCAATAAGACAGGCTTTTTACCATCCCTTTAAGTGCACGGTTTGACATAGGTTTTTATGATGAGGTGATCCTTTCAAACAAGGGCTAGTTAATGAAAATCTATGGCTTTCCATGTATTTTAAGGTGGTTTGTGGTTGTACCTGACATTCTCGTGCCTCTTGACATAAAGACTGTGGAAGTTGTTATCTTTGACAAGTCGCTGTTGTTCTTCTTTGTCTTTACAGTCTTGCAAGCGCTCCCTGATGGCCAGCTTCATCTTCATGGAGATGTAGACTGGCAGCACAGACTGCAGTAGGTTCTCCTGCACACACACACACACACACACACACACACACACACACACACACACACACACACACACACACACACACACACACACACACACACACACACACACACACACACACACACACACACACACACACGTCAGTTACGTAACTGCAATTTAGGTGAGCCAGGAACATAGGCTTATTTGACTCTCAATATACAGTGATGAGTGGTAATACCCTGAAATGAAAAAAGGCAGACCTGGAAACAGCCAGAACACACACAGACATAAACACACATATATAAGCATGATCACAGGCACACAACCTGAGACTCCCAGACCCACCTCATCAACATCTCACTCTTTAATATCTAGCTATGAATTTATGTCTCAAGATGCCTCTATCAAGGTAGAATAATGTTCCAGACTCTGTCAGCAGTAATAGCCGGAGGCCTGAGAAGTGTTCAAAGTTCAATGGCTTGATTAAGACAGGAATCTGAAGAGGCAACTTCTCAAGAAATGATTAATCCCTTAATACCACCAGAGCGGCATCAGGTTAGATCATTTGACCACACTGGCTGAACCGAGGCTTATTAAACTTATCTATAAAATGCTTTTTACATAATACAGTCACAACAAGTGCTTTAGAATGCAGGAGTGGATGTAAATCGAGATGAATGCACAGAACCAATATGACAGATTTTAAGGTAATGAGACCGAAGCTAAGTGTGTGCACGTCGAGTGTGTGTGTGCACCACTGAGTGTGTCTGCATAAAAGAAAGAGAGGGAGGTTTGTGTGTTTTTCTGTGGGTATGAAAAAATAAGTCCTTGCAGATTTATTAGAAAACATTGCTGAAATATTCACCTCCTTTAACCTTTTCCACAATCTGTAGTGTTGCAAAATGAATGGAAAATTGATTACATAGTTTTTTTTCAGACAAAAGTTAATTTTTTTTTTTACTGTGAACTGTGCTTGGAAGTGAAATATAAATGTCACATTTAAACGGATATTCAAGTATACAACCCTGTGAGCCATTAAAATGTATTTCAGCAAATTAAAAGCATGGTGACACGTGTGTAACAACACTAAATGTCCTTGAGAAATGGGTCTATGTTCTTATGGGTTAATTTTCCTACTCTTTCTTTGAAGGGATAGTTGGAGTGGGGTTGTGTGAGGTACTTATCCATAGTCAATGTGTTACCTACAATAGATGGTTGTCAGCATGACCCCACTTTGGAGAAGCTGACAGGGATCCCAGGACAGAAGCAGAGCAATGCACTGCTGTGGACAGGGGCAGCAGAAAAATGTGGTTGAGCCACATAAAAAAGCAAACTTATGAAATTAAGTAAATCAATATCTGCTTAAGTGTATTTTCACCCCTTTCCGTTGCTGTCCAACAGCCCTTTTCTTTGGCACTAATGTAGAACTTCCATATTCCTATGCATAAGCCCAACTGTATTATGCTGCAGATCAGCTGTGTGAGTTACAGTGGTACAGCCCAGACAAACACAAGCATGCACCATCTTTAAAATCCTTATAAACATGAATTTTGCATTCTGCGGTGTAATATAGTGCACAATGCAGTCAGGGTTAATGCGTTGGAATACGGAAGTTCCATTGCTAGTGCCACACTACACTTTTTGTTTAGGTGGTTAAAACGTGTCAGTACTCCTCTCTGTTTCTCCAAACGGGGCTTGCTGACCAGTGTCTACTGTAGGTAACCATGCAACCACACTTCAAAAAACCTGAACTATCCCTTTAATATTTGCACAAGCTAGGTCAGGTGGGATGAGGAGTGTAAGTGTGTGAACAGTTCAATTTCAAAGGGGTTTAATTCTGGGCTTCAGCTGGGCCACTTAAGGGCATTGACATTCTTGTTTTGAAGCCATTCCAGTGCTCATTTAGTTGTATACTCCAGTCCATTGTCCTGTTGGAAAACAGATTGTCTTCCCAATCTAATATACTACAAATAACTCTTGAAGAATCTCCTGTATATTAATGGATCGTTCTATTTCTTTTGCAAGTCAGAGCTGAAACCCTGACCCCTTTGGCATGATGCGACCACTACCACACTACACAGTATGCAAGGAGTGTTATATGGCTACTGACTTGTGCCCATTTTTTTTGAGTGCTTTGCATTACAACAAAACTACTCTTAATCAGACCACAGGATCTTTTGCTTTAACGCGTCAGAATTTTCCATGTTGCCCTTTGTGAACACCAAGTGTGCTGTCACAAGCCATTTATTTCCCTGGAGGGTTTCTGGACACTCTCCAGGCTGTACAGACATCTCAAAGACTCAAAATAATGAAATTGCACCTTAACTTAATTTGAAGGGTTACAGCAAAGAGGTGAATATGTTTTCACTCAAAACATTCCCGCTTTTGACTTTTTAAATTAATTTTTAGAAAATTTCAAATAAATATAAAAATTGAAATTAACATTTTGAGTTAACATATGCAAACCAAAAGGAAAATAATCAAACTTTTGTTTAAATTGTTTAAATCCGGTTGCGACAAAAAATGTAGGAGAGGTCAAGAGGGATAAATAATCATGTATGGCAATTCATCTCTGGGTTAGGGTTAGGGTTAGGGTTGCACATCTGTGTGTGTGTGTGTGTGTGTGTGTGTGTGTGTGTGTGTGTGTGTGTGTGTGTGTGTGTGTGTAAAATGGCTCCTTGCAACCTGAACCTCCCATTCACTCTGGCTGACCTCTTACAGGGTTCAAATGATCCTTTTAGTTTCCCCAGGGTCTGAAACATAAAAACTCACCTCTCATAAATTGGCCTTTGTATAGATGATGGTGGGCAGCTGCAGCATGTGCCACATGATCCAGTGCTGCTGTTAATGTTACCCATTTGTCTTTTATTAACTTACTTTAATAACTTATGTATATTACATATCTTGAAAGAACTGTTGTCACTAAATGCATGCAGTGACACATTTACACTGATTTAAGGGAAATCAGAACTTGTAAAGGGGTTAGTAGTGTTCAAGAGAAGTATCGGTTTCAAACGGGAATGTTAACGTCACACAGTTTAAAATGAAATGTTTGACGTCTTTTGCACGCTGCCAAGAAACATCAACACACTGGGCTGCTGAAATTAATGTGGGACAACAATGCAAGTTCCTCATTGGTTCCCCATTCAGAGCTGTGTTGGAGCTTTCCCCACCATGCTTTTGTGTCCCTGTTCTCTTTGGCTAACTTTGTGCACCAGGCTCCCTTTTTTCAGCCCCAATTCAAATACAACAGGAGGAGGTTTGAATGTTAACGATTATATCATTCCTTTCTGTCCTCCTAGGCAACACAACAGCTTCTCCGTCAGCACGTTTTATGTCCCTTACTAAGCAACAGTCATAACAAATGACAAAAGGGGAACATTTGTTTTAAAAATGTCTCTGAAGTCAAAGCAAGTCAGCACAGATGCATCTAATTTAAAAGGCATCACAGGAAAATCTAATTTGAGAAGGATTTGTTAGTCGCAATGAAAACATCCATGGGAGAGTCAACATGAGGGCAGCCAAAGGCAAAGCTTAAAGATGAAATACAATTACTAGAGTATGGCAATAACAATTACTGGCAAGCTATTTTCATCATTTGTAATGTTTTGTTTCCATTCAGTGAGGTTACTAAAATACATTTGATTCAGTAAAATAAAAGGTATTAAAATGATCACTATTGGCTTACAATAAACAGGACACTTCCCCTCTCACTCTAATGAAATGGTGGTATTTTTCAATAAATAATGGATGTAATGTAATGGATCATTACTTGATGAGAGTGTGTATGGATGTAGTGTGGGCCTAATTCAACCAAATGGATGTAATGGGAAGTACCCTCTCGATAATCCTAAAGCAATGACTACAGGACTCAGCACATATTTTTCTTTTATGTTTAGTGTAACTGTGTTTCTTAATGTATGTGTTCATCACTGTTACTATTCCTCTCTTAAAGGACCAGTGTATAGGATTTAGTGGCATATAGCAGTGTAGTTGCAGACTGCTACTGACTGAACACCGCTTGCATCTGTATTTGAGGACATGGGATTGAAAATGGGCTGTTAAGTGTACAAGAGATCCTAGGATAGTATACTATCCTACATATCAAGGTATTATTAGAGATTGTAAGCAAACCTCCATATGAATTTAAATAACAATAATGATAGAACTTTTTTTTTTATTCCATTAACATCATTAGATCCTCCTAAGTGTTACACACTTGACCTTTAATGTGGACACTGTGGACTGTTAGTGTGGGAGGTGGGTTGTTACACAAATGTATAAATAATCCAACAAATGTTTAGTTTAAGGATACTCACACTAACGTCATGAGCCAGACTTTGAAAGGCTTTGGTAACATAATGCAGGCTTTCATATTTAATGGGTGAGCTATTATTTGATAGCCAGTGTGCGACACTAACCTGCTGTCTCTTTTCTATCACCAGCTTCATCCGCATGCTCAGGCACCTCAAGGTGTCTTGAAAGGTCTGCCTCAGGGTTTTCTCCATCAGAACCTTATGAAAGGCTCCCACCACACTGCCACACAGGAACACCACTGCATTGGACAGCAGCTACAAAAACAGACACAGTAGCAGATGTTAGAGCTCAAAAACAGTAATATATACACGCGCACACAACACACACTTATGCATCTGTTCCTGCTGGATTGGGATTTTTGAAAATACTCATTTACTTTGTTAGTGTCTTTACTTTCATTTTTTGCTTATTATTTTGTATCTGATTCTGGCCAAACATTATATATTCAAAACTGTATGTCTAGTCTTCAGTACACAGTTGGAAACTGATACAGAAGCATTTCTTTATCCAGCTGGTTTTACCTGGTTCGGAAGGTTAGGAGGGGACACACTGCTCTTTATGGTGAGGTACAGTGTGAGGACCATGATGTGAGACAGTGAGGAGATGACACTCAGCACCACAGCGTACCACAACTGGAACGGCAGCATGGTGTACACGGTGAAGATGATGAAGAGGAAGAAAGGCACCTGGAAACATAAAGGTATCATTATTTCAACCTGTTGTGCCACAAGTAAATCAGATTGTACTAAATTCTACGTTCATTTTGAGTAATCCAGTGCTTGAAAATTACTTGTAGAATATACTATAGACATATTATCAACAAATACAGTGTAAATTATAGACATACACACTAGAATATTTAATTAACCAATGTTAACCAAGTTTTTTTTAATTATCTGTCATCCAAATATTAGCGATGGAAAATATTTAAGAATTACAGCTTAAATCTAATAATTATAATAATTACCATGCCAGAAAACGTGCGTGGCTTGAGAGGACCATACTAAAAAACAAAATATAACCTTAATCTGGACCCTATGGGACGGTGAGGTTACCTGGTCCCAAGGCAGGATGATGGGGCTGCAGAAGATGAAGGTGTAGCCCATGGTGAGATGTGTGGCCCATACAATCAGGCCGAGCAGGTGCCTCCATCTCTGTGAGAGCATCTCTGTACATACCAGCACAAACACGGCCAGAAACACACACAGGCTGCCACTCACCACGCTCACAAAGGCACAGTGTTTCACTGCACTCTGCTCCAGCGGCAAGGGAGAAAGAGAAAAATAATGCATATATTATCACTGTAATACATCATTTCATATTCATATATCTTTCAGTCAGTATGGATGCATGAAATTCATACAATGGTATTATATAGAGTACTATAAACATAAGTCATATTACAGTTAATTGCATGTGTCAGCTTTAATAAAAGACATTTTTATTAAATTAATATTTAAGACAACAGTCGGCAACTTGCGGAAGAACAGTAAGACCATGCAGTTGCTGCCTGATGTGCAGGAGAATCAGTCGCAAACATTAAAATGATGTGTCAAAATCACAAATCCTCATAAGCGGACCCTTTACCATCAATGACTGAAAAAAAATACAGGATATTGCTTTATAACACTACAAGCTACATTCCCAAACAAGACCCCTGGTTTTAATCAACAGCTTTACGAGTCCCAAAAAAACTAACACTAAAATCATAAGCTTCACCAAATTGGTATACTGTAGGCAAGTCTGTTATTTTGTTCACCTCTACATATATACTTAAAATCCAATAAAATACTTGCTTATCCTTTTTAATCAGTATTGTATTGTGTTTCTGACTAATAAATCCTTTCTGCATCATGTCCTGTTTGCTCCAGGCCATCATCTTCCTGATTGGGTTACTGTACAGTGAGAAGCAAGCACGAAGGGAAAAAGATGCATTTGTGCGCATATGTGAACGAAGAAGCATGTTTGCATGTATGTGTCTATGTTCTTTCTGTGTATGTGTGTTGTATATGCAAGTGCATTCATGAAAGTAACAATTGTGTACACTTGTATGATTGTCTTGGCGTGGGAGGCAGAGAGGGAGAGCACAAGAGAAAACAAGGGGTTAAAAGAGCGCTCAAGAGTGAGACAGACGCACAAAGTCAGTGTTAATAGATCTCTGCTCAGAGAAGGCCATCTCTGCATTGTATGTTGAGCTTTCTGGTTACCATGGCAGCATTGGAAAAGGGCAGATCTCAACTAAAGCACTTTCTACTCCCCTATGTAGCTGTGAGTCTTGACAAAACCCTCTTGTGGGCAGAAAACAGAACAATTATTCTATATGAACAGGTGCTAAAATCACATGAACAGATACAGCTCGAAGCATGGCACACCAAAGACTTAAAAACTCACATGAAACCAAATGTAGCATTTGTATACTTTTCTCTTATTATTAGCACTCACAAAACTATTTTTATGATCCAATTGATTGTATAATTTTTCAGTATTTATGCAGGTTCTTACTGATATATAAATATGTTATTTACTACTACAAAGTGAAAAATCAAGTCAATTATGTTATTTTACAATAAGGTCAACAGTACATTGTATTTTAATGTACCTGGCTGCTATAACGACCCAATTTCCCTTCGGGGATTAATAAAGTCTATCTATCTATCTATCTATCTATCTATCTATCTATCTATCTATCTATCTATCTATCTATCTATCTATCTATCTAAAGAGTGCCTCAACTACCAGATAATCACAGTTACCGGCAGTTATCAACAACAAAGGCAGGGGTCAAAGCTGCAGTGGCTGAATAATGAAAACAGGTGAAATGACAAAACAAGAGCCGTGTATGGCTAACACTGATGTCTTATATGAAATACATGCTCCACAGGCATTCTCTCACAGCTCTTAGAAACATATAGACCCATTGTATTTGGATACAGTTTTACAAACCCCGAACAATAGGCTACTTAATATCCTCTCTCCAGCCAATCAGGGCCTGAGACTGCTACCACAAGTGGCACTTGGAAAATCAGCTCAGCCAGTTTTTCTCTCAGCATTGCTCTTCATCCGATGTCGATTGGAGAGGAGTTATATAAGTTGACAGTAACTTTCTGACACCGGTAACCACCCCCTAACAGGCACCCTGCCCCTCCTTTGCATTTAACAACAGTGTTATACAAGCTCTATCCCAGCATTTTCTCTTTACTCTTTTGTACCCCTGGCAACTGTGTGTGCAGGAAGACAGCAAAGAAGAAAAGGGACAAAAAAGCAACAGGAGGAGTGAGTGGCGGTATGACAGGGGGGATGGATGAGGGAGTGAGCGAATAAGTGAATTTTGGATATTTAATGTAACAATTTTTGATCAAGGAGTAACTAAAATTAAAGAAAGTTGCAGGAAATACAATTGTGTGTGTTTGTGTGTATGTGTTCATTTGTATATGAGCAAGAAAATAAATCAATGTGTTAGTATGCACGAGCATATACATAGGGATGGAGCCATTTCAAAAGGGAGTGTGCCAGAGATTCAGCAGCAACACAATAGAAGGAAGGTTAAGATGTTTTTTCCAACAGGGGAAAGTAATATAATCTCCGGTGACAGAAGCTGTCAGTTCACTATATGAACTGCCGGTCTGACTGACTGCTCTGCAGCCTGCCACCATGCCAAAATCAACAGCAGGCCACCGATCAGCTGAAGTCAATGAATACCTGCCTTTTCCTGTCACAGTAAGAATCACGATTACACTCACTACACTTTGACAGCTACATTGTTTCAACCACCATTTTCTGTCTTCTCTCTTTCCTTTCCTCGAGTCATTTTCTTCTATTCAGTTTTCAAACAAAGCTTATGAAGATGGTTTAGGTTGTTAGTGCAGAGTTGTGTGTTTGGCAGGGAGACTGTGCCTCAGTGAATAGACCTGTACTGAAGTCCCCATGTCAGTAGGCATATCCTCTGTTTTTGAGCAAAACTGAAGCACTACCAGCTCCAGGGCTACTGTTCTGTAGCTCACCCTGACCTCTGACTGCTCTGCAGAGAAAGACAAGACAATTTCCTGACAGAGAAGTATCATTAGCATACATATGCCTTGTGTTGTTTAATGGATGCATATTTAATCTGTCTCCTTTTCTAATCTAGGGAAAGCAACTGAAAAATGCATCCTCTATTTTTGTGTCTATTTCAGCAATGTCCTCCTTCACATTCATACAGTTACACAATCACTCACTCATTCACGCTTCTGGGCAGCTGCACTGGTAGTGAAGGGGAGTTAAGTGCTTTATTTAAATAGTTGTTGAGGGAGAGGAGACTTTTTCATTTGTCACATTTTCACAGCCAACCTAGAGATTCAAACAGACCATCTAGCCACATCCTGCTTCTCTAAACATTAGGCTACTGCTGCCGTCCTAATGTGCCACATTAGTCCCCATACACAATCCAACTCCATGAATCCTCTCTGCACCATCAAGGCAACAGAAAAATGTTACAGGGCTGTGAATCTCTAAAGTCATTCTCAACTAACTGTGACACATCTTCATTTTTTTTGTTTTCACACTTCTCTATACTGCATTTCAATATGCTAATAATATACTCATGATGTACTATTTCCATTTCACAGTCCTGTGGTTTCTGTGTGATGTATGCTCAATATGCCTGTACAATCTAATCTAACACAGTCCTGCCCTAACATCTTCCTGACTGAAATATTTCAGTTTTTGGTGATTTCATCAAAGGGGTGTTGTACTGGACCACATTATACTGAGAGGTGTTGTGTAATTTTTTGTCCTTCCCATTTACATACATGGGAGGGGGGAGTTTTCAGACAGCAGAGATTACAGTATTAGTACTTACATCTCCAATAAAACTACTTCTGAGGGAAAAAAAATAATCTCCATTGTTTGTCCACCAAAGCGCACTGACAAGTTGATTTTTCAACTCAGATGTCCCACTCAGTATGTATCTTGGCCACATTTAAAACACAAAACAAATCTAGCAGGTCTGATATCTGATGTCTAATATAGGTACTGGCCAATATCGGTCAGGCTATAATGAACAACCCATGAACAGCATAACCAGTGGCTGGAAATAATACTTCAAAATGTTGTTTTCTTTCTTGAGCATATTAGCTGATAATTATATAGGTGATCTGGCCATAATGGTGTCTTCAATTTGCTTATCGGACATCATTTCATTCAGCTTTCCTCTTTTCTCAGCATTCCGGAGAGATGAAAACAGAGATTCACTGCTTAATGTAACTATGTGTACGTCTGGGTTATAATTGCCAGGGCTCGTGTTTAAGTGTAACATACAGACTGTCATTGTTAAGCTTCAGGAGAAATAAGAATGTAGTAGCCGTACAGTTTAAGTCAAGTTGTATGTTACAGCAACACTTGCTGCACATAATCTTACATTGACAACACAATCATCATTTATTTTGATGCAGCCTCAAAAACAGTATTACTAGTTTCACAGTTTACCAGCCATTGTATCCTTTAGAGTCAACCTGTATCTAACTCCACATTAAGAAGCACTGTGTTGACATCAGATGGACAGGCCTTGTTCCAAGATGAGAGCACCAGTGAAGTTAACTGAAATGTGTAAGTCAGACTGGAAAAAGGTGTATATTTACAGTATCCAGCATTGTTATTTAAATACTGTGTATTACTGTAACACCATGTGATGAAAACAGTCAAAAACTCTATAAACTATTTTATCAAATGTCAACACTTTGCCTTGCACCAGCTAGTTTCTTGTTGTGACATTTCTCTCTCCCATGCACCATGTCTGTCACCACAAAAATGCAAAGAAAACGAAAAAAAAGTGCACATCTCAAAAATATGTCCTAGCATAGCATTGTATGGGCATATTTTCCCTTGTAAAAAATACATCTACGATAATCCTGTTCGTGAGGACATCTACACACAAAAGTGTTTTGACCTAAAGTTACACAGTTAACAGTTTCAGCGGGTTGGATTCTTCATTCTACATAAAACTGATTATATTAAAGTACTTACAGCATTTTCTAAAAATGAAGGCACTCTAACATTTTCATATGGTAGAAAACCTAAAATACCTACATAACCAGATTTTTCCTTTCACTTTTTAACAAACACATATGAATGTGAAGACTCACCAGTTGTTGAGCAAAGAAGAGGATGAGGAGGATTCCACAGAAGAGCATGGAGAGGCCCAGCAACAGCACCAGCGGCTGATACTGGCTGATGCAGGAGAATTTGCGGTATAGTGCCTCATTTTTCAGCTCCTGGTCGTTCAACAGGTACTTCCCCTTGGCCGGCATGGCTCAAACTTCTTATACAGGCATATCAGGTGTTAACAAGGAGCCCCAGCGAACGGGAGTGCGTGACTCCACAAGTTTTGTGTGTGGGTGGGGGTGGGCAGAAGTTTGTTAAGAAGAGTCCACAGTTCTAAATCTGTTAGGGTCCCCTTGCTAGCTCATGACGCTCAAGTGAAACTTGTGTTTTTCCTTCAGCGTGGCATCTTGAATGTTGTTGCTTCTCTCACAGCTTCGTTGTAGCCCTCTCCACTAGTTGTCCTCTGTGTGTGTCTTTCTCTCTCTTTGTGATTCTCTCCCCTTCGCTAGTCCTTTTGTGTCTTCTATCCTCTGTCTGGTGTTGGCAGGCAAACCCGCTTCATCCTTTGCCAGATACTGTGTTGCTCCCTTCAGTGGGTTTGAGTAATAAACCCAGGGCTGAGAGACACACAGGAGGAGGGGAGGGGAGTTTAAGAAAGGGGAGGAGAGGGATAAGGAGGAAGAGCAGGGGGAAAAAAAGAGCTGGTGAGGGCAGCAACAAAGGTCATCAGTGATCCCACCAGGTTTCGAGATGCAACGTCAGCAGCTCCACTCCTTAGAGGCACATAGAAGGAGAGCAGGGAGAAAAAAAAAAACTTTTAGCAAAGGCTTGGTGGCACACACAAACAAGACAAAGATTTTAAAATCAACATACACTATTTTATTATAATGTTACAATATTTTATGCAAATACAACAAAAACTTCTAAAACCGGCAGATTGTAATCAGGCACCTCATGTGACTCACTGGGAATACTGTGAGAGTAAGACATAAATATCTGGATCACTCGATGAGAACATGCTTATTCATACGTGAACTCCGCAATTTCCACAATCCAGAAAGCCCCGTCTCCGTTTTGCCCAGGTCCCTGGCTCAGGTTGACCAGAACCTTCATATAAAGCACCCATAATGATAATACTGCTAATAAGAGCAGTTGCTTTGGAGCCATTCACTGAACCATACAACATTGTGGAATGAACTTCTCTACAGCCACAAATCACTTAATTCTCCCCCAGCTGAACTAACAATAAGATCCACAGCTGAGGTAATAAAAGAAGACAACAGTCACACAAATCAAGTGGACCTGTGACTTTATATGCAATCCATACCTGTATGGATCCCTGCCTGTTATTGGAAGACGACGGCCTTTTAATGACCTGCTCATCCTTTCAAAACAATCTGTGAGCACTGGTGGCTTACCTTTATGATCAAAACTGTAAACATAAATCAAAACCTGCAATATGAGCCATTTGATTTATCCTCTTTCTGTCTAAGAACAATGCGTCTCCTTGCTTCGTGAGAGATCATGTCCTATTTACACTACAGAGTCTGAGAGAAGATACCAGAAAGGCTTTGTCAAACCACATACTGTGGATATCTCTTCAAACAATTAGGGCGCTTTGGCCGAACTGCAAGAAGACCTAATAATCACAACGTACTATCCGTAGACACCACAGTCAGGACAGGAGAGGCAGGGGCAGTGGAGCTTAGGTAAGGACTGCATTCTGGTAATAAATAAATCTTAATGAAATTATTCTGACAATGGTAAGATTATAAATTATAATGCTCAAAAAGAACACAGAGAAGATTTGCCTCTAACTGTCCAGTTATAGCTAATAAGAGCTCCATATATTCATTTGGGAGGGCAGAGGAGGCACTGTCTTGAAGCTCAATAGAAACAATATGAACTTCGCACCGATGTCAATAGAAACCTCATTTCCTCCAGTTGCTAATATTGCTGTGTGCAGTGTGTGTAAGGCTCTGCTTCATGTTTGTCCTTCAAATAGCAACAGCGACAGATGCTACGTGCCATAAAAGGAGAAAAGCAGGGCAAAAAAGGACAAGACACATACACACACCTGTTGCTCTGAGGGTAAGTGAAGAGTTACCCGCAATGCTTTCATCTGTAGTGGTAGAACGCATTGCCACACTGAGACTGACCTGCCCGCTGGCAGTTTACAACCACTTCAAACTTTCACTGCTGGACAGAACAGCATCCAGCCGGCTCTCCCTAGCCTCAGATAATACACCACCGGCAGTCTGAGGGCAGTAAAAGTAACAGGGAGGTAAAACAAAGCCCATAGCACTGGTGGGGGACAGAGTCCTCCTCTTGCATCAATGAGGAACAGCTGACCTATAAGAAGGGAACCTGTACCTGTTTACACTGGAGAAAATCATGTACTCCACATACCTACCTAATGCCATGTCTAGATCTTAAACCTGTAAACGACTGTATAAAGCGCTGATGTATGCAGCGCTGATGTACATTCTTAAGCACACGTTACTATAAATGTCATCATAAATGGTAGACAAAGCCGGAGCCATATATATTTTTTATGATCACAAGCATGGGAATGTTCATTTCAGGTAAGTATGCTCATTTGATAGTCTGGGGACATTATACAAGGCAGTGGTGACACTTGAGAGCAAAACACAAGCAATACAGGAAATCAAGGGAAATGCAATAAGAAGTAACCAAATAAAGAAGAAAGAAGTAAAAAAGGAACCATCAGATATTTCTCTCAGTTTGATGGCTCTCAGTTAAGTGTTTTTCCTGTTACCCAACAAATGTCTGGATGTCTTTTGTTTCTTAGTACACTGATCAACCAGTAAGTGACAAGACCGAACAAGAACAAGAAACAAGTTGAAGTGCAATTGTGGACCAAACCCAATATGCCTCTGAGTTAGCCTGCTCCATGTTTTCTTCACTTGCTGAATACAACAAAAAAAAGGAAGTTAAAAGGTTAATAAAATGATCCTAAATCAATGGTCGAGGTCAGATGACTCAGGGCCTTCAGCATTTTAAGTGTTTGTCTAGACTTTAGACAGCCATTTGACAGTGCAAGAACTTTCATTTACCAGATGTTAAAGCTCCTGGCCCTGGCTTTTCAGGCTCCAACTCTAAAGTTACCATGGTAAAAAAGCAGCAACATCAGACCTGTGGTTGTGTTGTAGCACTGAGCTGGGAGAACAGAGAGACAGGGATGTACGCTTCAATAGAGCTGAGTCTCTCAGCAAGAGAAGATGAATAGCTGAAACTGTGCTGCATTGACTGCCAGGTCTTTTACTATGAAAGCTTGGCAATTGAGGGAATCACATAGCAGCCTTGTAAACTGGCGTCACTGAATCCTGGAACAGCAGCCATACAAAACCAACTAACGTCACTGCATGCTTGCTGCTGAGACGCAGGACCATACATCGTGTCAAAGAAAAGAGGAGGTGAAGTGTAACAGAGATTGGGAGCTGTAGCAGTAGTGTTTTTGTAGACAGCTTCAGAAAAGCGGCGTAACCATGATAAGTATGGAAACCATGGGTGGGTCTAAATATATCAGGGGGAGACTAATAAAATGAAGTTACTTTTCTTAGTATCCTAAAAGATTGCACAATACTTTAGTCATCAAAAGAAGCAATCTGCAGTATCCTATTAATTCGTTTTTAGTTATAGATTGAGTTGTAACACCAATGATTGATTGATTGATGGGAGTAATTATAAATGTGTATATTCTCTCTATTCAGATAAATGGTAAATGGACCTGTACTTGTATAGCGCCTTTCTAGTCTTCCGACCACTCAAAGCGCTTTTAATATAGATACTAACAATATAGAATGTATACTGTACATTGGGAAGTCAGAACTCTCGGTTTTTATGCACCAAGAGTCTAATCTACATGGGACCTTTTGATTATAATTGCTATTTACACTATATTAATCCATGGTAACCCCAGGGTGTTCACAAGCACAAGTAGTCTGTTCAGCAGAGGAGTGACATGTTTAGCCTCCCCAGAAACAAAGCAGGAGTAGGTATCTGCTGGCCAGCTTAAAAGCACCAGACAATGCCAGATGCCTAACAGGAAGCAAAGCAACTGGAGGAGATATGTCAAGCAGCTAGATAGATACAATGCAGTCTCTAAGTATAACATATTTTGTATTGTTTTGCCTCCATGCTTTAGCATATTAGATTTGAAATAAAACATTGACTAGTCCTTTTAACTTGCAGAGTCATCATTTATCATGAGTTAATTTGAATTTTCAAGGAAGCATGGGAAGTTCCTCATTTACTCTTTCTGGTTGAATGCTGAATGGTGAATCCAGTCCCTTTATGCCAACTAATCACCTCTCGGGTAATAAACCAATCTTATCTAAAAATCTGGTCAGATCTGCACCAAACTTACGCCCAATTCAAAGCCTTTTCATGGAGAGCAAACAGGCAGGTTTCTTTCCGAAGCAAATCACTCTGCTTTTATGGCAGTCTTTGTGTTGGCAATCAATTTGGACAAAAAAAAAAAAAGAACAAAGAGTGACCTCTGTAAAAGAAAAAAGCAAACCACAATTCTTAGCCCATGCTCTACGGATAAAGGGTTAGACAATGCGGCTAAATCTCAGCTAGACCATGCTTCCATCACGATTTAAGTTAAAAAAAACGCTAAAATATGCTTTTTGGGCTCTTGAAATAATCAAGATGATGATATAGTCAATGCGCATATGTTTGAAGCATAGTCAGCCCACATTGAACCCATCATATGAGATGGGTTAATCTCTGGTTGTCACTATTAACAGGCACTCCATTCTACAGTGTACTTTGATAGCTCTACACATCTATGCAAAACAATGGAAATACACAGACTCACATTAAATACTTACCAAATTTAGTTCATTTCAGTTTCAGTTCCTTATGTATGCTCACATGCATGGATGTTTGTTCTCTTGTTCTTAAAGGGACATTGTGTAGTGTTTTAAGTATTTTATTAGCTAAAATCAATGTCTTCATTCATAAATGTGTCCTCATTGGTGTAAAATGACCTCTGCCAATGATCTGACTTATCCTCGTCAGCGAAGAATTTCTTATCTGTATATACATTGGACGGGCAAGTCCATGGAGGCTTCCATGTCGTTCTGCCATTTTGAAAAACTATAATCGCTGAGAGGGACATAAAGCACTAGCCTACCTGTCTAGCTAATCCACAACGCATTATCGTTCAGAGCCAGCGTCATGTGACTGAAACCAGCTATAACGGAGAAAGAGATCAGTGAGAGGCGCTTGTCACTGCCCCGGCACATTTGAAAGTCTGCACTGCACTTTAGTTAATAATGGAGGATCATACTTATGCCGAGCCACAGGAGAAGGAATCCTCGTCGCCAAAAAAGCAAAAAAGGGAATTAAAAAGGCAACGTGACCAGCGAATTAAAAAAACGAGGGTAAACATCGGGGTAGCTTTTCCCAGGTGGAAAGAGCTAATGAAGGAGAAACACTTTCAAAGGGACGCTGAAGTTGCCTGCTTTCTCCTCGACAGGTAGGCTTCTTGGTACATAACGGCTATCGTAGTTGCAATACGCATTTGAAAACGCGAGGCACTAGAGAGCACTATTCGTTTGAATGCAAAATACAATTTCACCGCTAGATGGGAGAAATTCCTACACAATGTCCCTTTAATCTTTGTCTGTCTTTCTTTATTTGGTCAGTTAAATATAATTAAATTACTTTTCTCTCCATAGTTAAGACTCATACATGTCCAACCCAGCATTCAACCAAGTTTATACCCTGAGAGCTTATATCC